TACCATAAATGACAGAAAGTCATTGTCTCACAGTTCTAGTGGCCAGCTGTCCAAGGTCAAAGCGTCAGTGGGGTTGGTTCCTTTTGATGGCTGTGAAAAAGGGATCTGTTCCGGGCCGTTCTCTTTGGCTTGCAGATGGTGGTCTTCTCCCTGTATTGCCCTGTATCCCTGTCTCCTCTGGGAATGTCTTTGTGTCCAAATCCCCTCCTTCTAAGGACACCTGTCATATGGGATTAGGGCCCCCTGTAATGACCTGATTCGAAGGATTATTTCCAATAAGGTCACATTCAGAGTGAGGACTTTAATACACGAATTTTAGGGAGACACAATTCAACCTGTAACAATGAATGTCTCTGAAGTTGGTTCAAGGAAAGGTCTAAAACAGCCTCCAGCACCACAATATAGTTAGAGCCCTGGTGGAAGGTTCAAGTTCTAAATTAGCCACTTGCCCTCTCTGAGCCTCAGATTTCTTCTCCAGAGAGCAGGAGATCTGGATGGGCCTCCAAAGCCCTCTCATCTCTCCAGGATTGTGCTGCTGAGGAAGTGAGAGAAGTTGAGGCCACATAATAGGGAAGTCCACGGTAAAGTTCTACTCCCTACAACTAGGGTGATCCTGACCAAGCACTGACCTTCTGAGCCTCAGGGGGTTTTTAACTGTAAAATGGAGACAGTGATGGGAGCTACTTCATCGACTGTATGATGGAATATTGCTCAGCCAAGAAAAGAAAGAAATCTTGCCATTTGCAAGGGTGTGGATGGACCCAAAGAGTATTATGCTAAACAAGATAAGTCAGAGAAAGACAAGTACCATATGATTTCTTTCATATGTGGAATTTAAGAAACATAACAATCAAAGGGGAAAAAAATGAGAGAGGGAGAGAAACCAAGAAACAGACCTAACTTAGAGAACAAACTGATGGTTCCCAAAGGGGAGGTTTCCTGGGTGAAACAGGTGATGGGGACTGAGGAGGGCACATCTGAGATGAGCACAGGGTGCCGTACAGAAGTGTGGAATCACTGTATTGTACCCCTGAAACTGATATTATACTGTATGTGAACTATACTGGAATTAAAAAAAAAAAAAAAAAACTTTTAAAAATACAGAACATAAATATTCTGCCAAAAAAAAAAAAACTAAACCAAAACCAAAAACCAAAAAAGGCTATGAGGGCTAATAAGGCCTGCGAATTGCCCAGAACACAGTTGTCACTCATGTACATGAACTTTAAATGGCATTACCGCTCTTCGTAGTGGCAGTCAGTTAGGCTTTGGATCTGGGACTCCGCTCTCTGCTCTCCGGTGGTGTCCACTGTAGGAAGGCAGGGACCCAGTGTCTTACGCAGTGGCTTCCATGGAGTGAGACACTTTGGTGGCAACACTCTGGTAACCCAAAGGGACATGCTTTTCCCCAGCTCCACCTTACCCAAATCCTGTCCCATTCTATTTAGTTCATTCACACTCATGTCATTAGGATTAGCACTAGAATTTCAGGTGATTTTTCCTCTCACTGTGTTTTATAATTTTTATACCATACAAAAGTGTGATAAACCATATTCCATTAGGGCATTTAACAGGGCTCTGTAGAGCAGCTGTGTAAATCCAGCACTGCGACCTCCCTCCCCCAGGAACTAGGCCGCCGGAGGTATGCCTCAGCGTTTGGCTCCGACCTTCATTGAACTGTTTCCAATTTTCTCATGGGTGTCCTCACCTAGACTGGAAACGGTGTGAGGAAACAAACAGGGTTTCTTTCTCAGACTTAGCAGAGCCAACTTACTGATTCCCACAATGCACCAGCCCCTCTGACATAAAGCATCTCACATAATCATCCCCATAACCTTATGGGGCAGGTAAGGGTACTATCAGACCACAGAGGAGCCCCTGAAGCTCAGAGGTCACACAGGTAGGCGGTGGTCAAGCCAGGATTCAATTCCATCTCCGTGTGACTCCTAATGCCATCCTAACCAAGTGTGCCCGCTCAGTAGATCTGTGGGTCCCTTTCCTCCAGCCTGAGCAGGGTTTTCCACGGCGGTGGTGCCCCCTAGTGGCAGGCTCGGAGCCATTCCTCAGCCAGGTTTCAGGCTCATTCTACGGCAGACATTCAACACTTCACGGGGTGACCAACAGGGCTGGCCCTGGGTACCAGACCCTGTGCACACAAGGGATAACCAGACTGTGTACCCGAGCTGTGCTTCTTCAATGCCCCCACCAGGAAGACTCTACTCCTGAGAGGTCAAGGAAGAGGGACTAGGGTCTTTGAGGCCAACAGCAACGAGAGGACCTAGAAGGTCTGGTTCCCCAACTGTGCTTCTCACCTCCAACTTCCCAGTCAGGACATGCTGGCATGGCCATTCTCTGCTGGACCCTCCTGGGACTTCCATTTTCCAAGAGCTTGTTCACGGAGGAGAGGAGAAAGAAGAGGATATATATGGCAGAAGTTCAGGACTTAAAGGTTTTTCTTTTCTTTCTCTCATTCTCTCTCTCTCTCTCTCTCTCTTTTTTTTTTAAGTAATCTCTACATGCAACAAGGGGCTCAAACTCACAACCCCAAGATCAAGAGTCACACACTCCTCCAACTGAGTCATTCAAGTGCCCCATGACTTAAAGGTTCTTAACACGACACAGAGTTCCTTTCCCAAAAGACCCATCAAGATTCTTCGATAAATATTGAATCCTTACTGTGCTCCACAATGCTCAGTGTCCAGAAATGGAGGAGATACTTTTCCTGTCTTTGAAAAGCAAACATATAAAGAATTACAATGCAACGAGGCAAGTACTTGAATATGGGACTTCGTCTGTCACCCCAAGAATGGATACCAGCACTCAAAACTGAAAAAAAGAATCGTCAAATATCCCCACCAACTGGCGAAAGTAGAAAACAGTGTGGGGTCAGACACACCTCCAACCCTCTCACCAACCCCCTGCACCTCTCCAGCCTCTAAGAGCTACCCACTCCTTCTGCCCACCTTGCAGGGGCCAACAGCAACAGGGCAGCGAACGAGGGATAGTGTGATATAGTCTGCCCTCCTGCCCTAGGTGTGGCAAGGACGCGTGGGCCAGCGGTCACCCTCTTCCTGCTTGCTCATTTGCCCTTGAGAGGCCTTTCCTATAGCCTGAGAAGCAATCACCACCTTTTCTGAGAACACTGTAATCATCAATCTGGCTTTGAGATAATCAGAGATACCTGGGAGCTGCATTAGCCTATACGGTAATCTGTAGCCACACGTGGCTATTGAACACTTGAAAAGTGGCCAGTGTGAACTGAAATGTGCTGTGAAAAATATACACTGGATTTTGAAGACGTTGTACAGGGGGAGAAAATGTAATATATCTCATTAGTATTTTCAACTTGATTACATGTTGAAATGGCAATATTTTGGACATAGTATTTGGATAAAATATACTATTAAAATTAATTTCACCTCTTTCACTTTTAGTGTGGCCAGGCCATTCACAATCACAAATGTGGCTCAAGTTAGAGCTCTATGGGACGGCACTATCCCGGAGGTTACAAACGCATGGGGCCATAGGGGGCGCTCGCGCAGAGCCAAGTCTCTGCCTGCAGAACTTCGGAGGGAAGCCAACTGGCTTCTTAGCCTTTTTTAATGCTATCTTTTTTTTTTTTTAAGATTTTATTTAGTTATTAATGCTATCTTTTAAAGGTAGTTTTAAGCTGCTTCCTCTAAGATTTAAATGGCCCATAGTATGTTAACATGAATAATTTTTCTAGGCAGAAGTCCGAAACTCCTGAATTACAACATTCAAGACTAGAATTTTAAGGAAGGTGCAAGTTTCACTATCACAGCCAGACACCCATAATTCCATTCTAATAACTTATCATAAATTATTAACTTTGGACCCAGTAATTCCATTCTAAGAACTTATCATAAATTATTATTTAAAAAAATAATTATCATGGACAAATATTTACCTACAAAGATATTTACCCCGCATTTGTAATACCTGCCCCCCTAAAACCGACAACCAACTAAGTATTAATAAGGGATTAGTTAAATCATTTATGGTACAACTATATTATGGAATATTTTGTAACTACGACAATGGATGCAAATGAATATTTAATGACCTGAAAAGACATTTATGCTAAATTTTGTGGAAAAGGCCAGCTACAGACCTGCATGTCCATTATGTGTCAATTTTGCTTAAAAAAGAAAAAAAATGAATAAAAACACTGAAAATTCTCCAAGGGATTTTTTTTTTAAGATTTTATTAATTTATTTGGGAGAAAGCATGAGCAAGGTACGGGCAGAGGGAGAGGGACAGAAACAGAGACAAGCAGACTCCCCAGTGAGCGGGGAGCACAGCACGAGGATCAGGCTCCATCCCAGGACCCCAAGATTAAGACCCAAGAAGAAGTCTAACAACCCACTGAGCCACCCAGGCGCCCCTCTCCACAGGATTTTAAGTCCTCTCTGGACAGACTATGGGTGGCTTTCCTTATTTCACAAATGCTCTTTAAAAGTTATTTTTAAGTAGTCCTACCCAGTCTTCTTTACAAGTGACAACTTCTTTCCCGGACTTTTCCTGCGCCCTCGCCAAAGGAAGAACCAATGTCTTCCCAATACCTAGCTTGGGGTTTTCACCGAGTTGCAGGTGGTCTTCTAGGCCCCGCGCGCACGTCACCTCCCCTACACGCCTGTGCAGCCCCGCACCAGGGTCTTGCGTCTCTCTCTGCCCCCGCCGCACCGCCTGGATCTCACCCTGTCTGACCCGCCCGGTTATTGCAAAACGCAAACAAGATCTGGCCTGAAGGTTTCGGAGTCGGTTGAACGGGAATGCAAAGGTCGACATCGCCGAGACACAGTGCCAAGCCGGAACCGAGGCCCTACAGCCCGGCCGCACACCTCTTCCCGTGCGAGAATTACTCGCGCCACCCGGTTGCGGATCTGGGCGGCGGAGGCGGAACCAACTTTTCCAAACACAGCGCGGAGGTCGCTCGGCGAAGTTTGTCCCTTCGGAGGCGCCGTCCCCCGCTGCGCCCGGCCCGGGTCACGTGAGCGAGACGCGTCTGGGACCTGGGGCTGAGCAGGAGGTGTAGAGCTGCGGGATCCCGGGCCGGGTGGGAGGGATGGAGGCCACCTTGGAGCAGCACTTGGAGGATACGTGAGTAGCGCGGCGGGGGGGAACTTGAGCGGGACCCGAGGCGCGCGCTGAGATTGCCCGCCGGGCGTGTCGGCGACGCCGCGCGACGACGCCGCGGGCCTGGGGGTAGGGGAGAGGGTGACGCGGCGAGCCCTGTCCCGCGGCCGCGGGGTGGAGGGGGTGACCCGGAATTAAAATCCCGCAATCCCGCCGGGGCTCCGCACCCTCCCTCCGCGAGCTAGTCTCCGCAGCCCAAGGCCAAAACCTTCCGTCGTGTTGCAGTTGTCTGTATGGCAGGGTCATTCCTCAGTAGTTTTAGGAAATGGGTTTATTTGGGGGAAGGTTGTACCAGGTGTGCAAAGCGAACCCTACAACGTGAACATAAACACAAGTCTCTCCTCGCGTGTGTAACCAGTTACTTGGTGCTTGAGGAAACGAAAGACCTCTCAAATTTTCGAACAAGTAATATCCACGTAAGGTGTAAAATTGAAAGTTCAAGAAGGCGCACCGCGAAACAGCTCCCTCCCACCAGCGCCGCTCAGTTTCTCCCACTTCCCCTCCTGGAGGCAACCAGTGTTTTTTCGTCATTTTGAACAACGGCGACAAAATACTGATAAATTGTCATGTCTGCGGCTCTCAGAAGCTCTGCAGTACCTGACATAATCTTTTCTCCCATCACACGTACATTGGTTTAACTATTAAATTTAAATTAGTTCATTGTAGTTTAATTTTTCTCAGCGTGATAAAAAAGCAGTGGTTTAAAGCGCAAGTGCCTGGTACATAGAAAAACCTGTAGGTGTGTGTTATAATTATTTGAATTCATTTCCTGACATCATCTGCTTCATTCCTCTGGTGCTCCTGGAATTAGAATGAAGAATCCATCCATTGTTGGAGTCCTGTGCACAGATTCACAAGGACTTAATCTGGGCTGTAAGTATGTCACCATCTACTCTGGTGGATTGCATAGCATTTGATATTGACTAGGAGCCTAGTGTGCTACTCTCTAGTTTTTGTACTTCCTGTTATCCTGCCGCTTTCTGGGTTCTTTGGTAAGAGTAGAGTTTATCTCCAAACGGGATTAGAAAATTGAAACTTTTCAGTTGGTATTTATGAAGGTAGAAGTGGTCCTTGCAGTTCTTGCACTAGAAATTGTTTCTACTAAAATAGTATTTGAATTATTTTAAATTGGGTCTAGCAAGGACCTCAGATAATGACATCAGGTACCATTGGTTGAGAATGGGTGCAGACTGCTAGGGTTTTGTATGCTTTATCTCTGATTTTCACAATAACCCAGGAAGATGGACAGTGCTATTTTGTAGTCCGAATACACCTGAGTAAGAGAGTAGGCGGTAAAAATGAGAGCTTCAGAGTTGAATGCATGGGGTCAGCCCCCTGCTCTTCCATTGCTAATAGTGTGACCTTGGACCAAAAATTCTGAGCCTCAGTTTCTCTGCTGGCTTGTTTTTGTTGGTTGGCTAATTGGTTGGTTGTATAGATTTCTTTTCAAAGGTAAAAACTCTTAGTTTAAATACAAGTCTAAACAGAAATACCCTGTCAAAGTCAGTGATAATGTCACTTCCAGACACTCACCAGTATCTTCCTTGTCTTCTCTAAGTGGAGAAAGGGGTCTGACATTTTATTCATGTACATCCTTCTTATCTGCAGTGTAATATACAATTTCTTATGGGCACAATAACTTCTCCACATCTGTATCAAGAATGTGAAAGCCAAAGTCCCCCTCCATGGCCACGATAATCTCCACTTGGTCCACACGGTCTAAGCCATTTGTTCTTTTCATCAAATGGGAATTTACCTAGAGCTTTTCTGGGTCGATTTTTTCATTGAGTTTAAAGACTTTGGTTTGTTTGTTTTTATAAAGAACATGGTCTTTGATTCCCTCTCACGTCAGAGGAGGCACATCAGGATCCTGGCAGCCGGTCTGTAGAACTGCCCGGACCCTACATGAGCACTGAGGCCGCCTGCACCGGCGCAGCCCTCATCTGGGCCTCTGTGGGGCACAGAATGGTGCTGAGCAGGCAGGCCTTGGCCAGTGAGGGGGCATTGGGCAGCAAAGGTCTAGGGCAGTTGGCTGACATGGGTGGAAAGGACATGAGCTGCCAAGGCTATGCCAACCCAGGATCTCTGTATTGGCTTGTGGTTTAATAATGGCAGTAATTAAAGAATTGCATTTACTGAGCACCTGCTATGTGCCAGGCACCATTCTAAGTGCTTTCCCCAAACTAAGTCATTTAATCCTTGTAGCAGCCCTGTGAGGCAGATGAAGAAATTGAGGTTGAGTAACTCGCCCCAGGTCACAGAGCTAGGGTTGAGCTAGGATTTCAGTCTGGCTCCAAAACCTCTTAGTCACGGTGTTGTAAGATTATATAATGTGTGTGAAACACTCAACACAGAACCCAGACATGATGCTCAATAAATGGTAAGAGTTACAGATGAGGAGATAAATCCTGAAAGGTAAGTAACTAAAGTGTTCAGCTAATTCATGTCCCAACTCGTAAACCAAGGACTCCTCCATCCTTATTCCTCTTTACTGCAGGAATTTTTAAAGCTCTGAATTTCTGCTGGGAGGGTAACTGAAAGAGGTAATCTGTGTCACTCAGATTTTACACAAATCTGGTTGGGAGAAAAAAGGCAGATTTACTTGAGGTGCTGGTTGATGGAAAGCCTGAAATTCAGGTGTGGAAATCTAAAATGAAATTAGTTCCTCCAAGAAACCTTCAGGACCCAAAAGACTGCACCGTCTGTCCAGTTAGTGTTTTCTGTAACCATAGGAAATCCGCCAGCTCTGCCACACTGGTATGTCTGTTTTCCGCTATAGTTCCAGGCAGGCAAGCTTGTGCTGCCTTTGTATGTGGAAGTGTAAACTTAGTAATTACCTTTTGTATCGGGCACCCAAGATTATCTACAGGAGAAAACAAATCTTAACAAAAAGCCAGTTAAGTTTGTATTTGAAAACAGCCAGCTTATTCAAGTCGAAATAACTGCGCACAGAATATTCACGTGTGCTGTCAACCAAGGTGATCCTGCAACCGAACTCCTGAGTAAAGACTTTTGTATCCTTTGAGGTTGAGCTCGCTCAAAGAAAATCAGATTTCCCATGAGGAAATTATACATTTCAACAAGTCTCTTGCCCTTACTGCTTTTTGTCAACTTCACCTTTGAGTGTCTTGTTGGTTTCACGAAGCTTCCTGTAAAAGGCATTTATGGCTTTCAGAATGACTTGAATTATAGCTTCCTTATAGGTGCGAGAAGGTATTCAGAGATGGTGATGATGAGAGTGATTGGAAATTGAGAGTCTCCTGGCGCTTTATTGATTTAAGAACTGTTGTCTGGCTTTCTTGTTGATGTAACCAGCTGAATATCAGGACAAAATCATTTCATGTCGGTACCTAACCTAAAAGACCATGAACTGAGCCTTCTTTTTGTGAATAAATCAGTGAGAGATTCTACTATAGCTCTGTACTCATGGACATGATTACCTATCTTCCAGGCCGTGGGACCCTGTCAGATGAGCACGCCGGGGTGATATCCGTTCTAGCCCAGCAAGCAGCTAAGCTGACCTCAGACCCCACTGATATCCCTGTGGTGTGTCTAGAATCAGATAATGGGTGAGTACATGTTGGCAGATTCTTTCCTTTTTAATCAGAAAAGTCACTGGGAAGGTTGAGTGAGGCCTGCCCTGTGTTATTAGCGATTTGCATTCAAAGAACTTGGAGGGAGGCTCTTCACTCTTTGGACCACAAAATAGACTGGTCTCCGAAGCTTTCAGACCACAGTGACATTTAAATGAATAGTAAGAATTGTCCTGACTGTCAAGAAAAAGAAAGTAATAAATAGCATAGGCAAAGACCAATCAAGGAACAGAAACCACTTCCGTAGTAATAGAAATACTAAAGCGGTTCCAGGTGAGCATCCTCGGAGTAATAGTAAGTGATGAAAGCAGAGTACGGAACTGCACAGTGTGATCAGTTTTGTAAAAAGAGCAGACAATGCACGATGGTATACACTCAGCTAACAAAACACTGTAGTGCCTGTCTCTGAGCTGTAGGATTATAGATTCATTTGTGTATTTTATACTTTTCTGTATTTCCCAAATGTTTTCTTATATTCATATATTGCTTTCGTACCTTAAAAAAATGATAAATAATATTTTTTTAGTTGTATCCTAAACCAAACAGTGTCTTTAATCTTCAGCAGACTCCCACTTGTAACATTTTATGGAATATCTTTGCCTTTCAGGAACATCATGATCCAGAAGCACGACGGCATCACGGTGGCGGTGCACAAGATGGCCTCCTGACGGCTTATGGCGGTTCTCCAGCAGCCTGTCGTCGGGGCTCGATCCCACCTGTGTAAATTATCTTAGACAACTACACCAGTCCCAATAGGCCATTTATTTCGTGTGCATTGGGCACTTTTCTCTTAATTTTAGAGTAAGCTTCTTTTGGACACTCAATGGACTGACTTATCCAAATATTAGTAAGAAAGGATCATGTTTTGAAGCAGCAGGTCCCAGTCACTTTGTACATAGAATTTTCTTACATTCAATAAATCTGGTCAGAGAAAAGCTTGGCTCTTTTCTGGATTGTTTAAATTCTTAGCAAATGTTCATTTTTTTGGATTACCAAATTATATATTTTTTAAAATCTTTGCTCCAAGTCAGTCTCTTCTCTCTGAGAAGCTTCCTGAACTACAGACAGTCTCACACAAGTGCCCATGGATACTGAAAACCAATTAAGCCTATACCCACCGCATAACAACATAATAGCTATTATCATTAAGTACCTATTAGATACCACGAACTCATGTAATTCTCACTGATAACCCTATATGTACTCTTAGCTGCCCCATTTTGCCTTTGTGTAACTAAGGCTAAGGGATTTGCAGAGTAACTCAGGGACGCCTGGGCAGCTCAGACAGTTAAGCGTCCGCCTTGGGCTCATACTATGATCCCAGAGTCCTGGGATCGAGTCCCACATCAGGCTTTCTGCTCACTGGGGAGTCTGCAGCTCCCTCTCTCCTCTGCCCCCCATCCCGCTCATGTTCTCCCTCTCTCTTGCACTCTCAGATAAGTAAATAAAATCTTAAAAAAAAAAAAAGAAAAAGACTCCCAACTCAGAGCTTGTACTTTGAACACCAGACCATCATAAAAATAGGCATGTTTGGTGAGAAAAAACTAACACCTGAATGTAGAAGACAACATTATCTTTTCTTTAACCTTTATAGTTCTCAACAGCAGACTGGAGCACAGGCAGGCACAGATGACCTGATTTTGTTGAATTTAAATGCAGTCCTGTTACTCTTTAGCAATTTAGTATTTGACAGTATAAAAAAATCTCCGGAATATTATTTATTCCAAAATATCAAGCACCTCCAAATACAAGATACTATAAGAGGATACAAAGATTTTGCATTAAGACCTGGTTCCAGCCTTTGAGTTCGTACTCTGATAGAAGGGATGTGCACATATGATGTCTTCACCAATACTTGACATGTAGTACATGTTTGTTTTATATATTAAAAATTGTTCATATGTTACATTGTCTTTGTCTGTCTGGCCTGCCTCTGCATAGGGTTTGTGGGCAGGGACATTGTCTTAGTCAATGTATTCCAAGTACTTAGTACCAGGACACAGTAGGCACTGAATACTTGCCAAATAGAAGAATATATAACTAATAGAAGAGAGATTTATGGAAAGACCTAGGCCTTCCCAGGCAGAGGGAGTGGCAATAGCAAACACCAGTGATAGACCAGGAGGACTATCTATGTAATACTAAATGTTTTAGTTTGGTCCTAAGGTAGGAGGTGAAAAAGCTGGGAGGTAGGGAAGGAACTTAAATATCTACTTTTTAAGAATCCTAGGGCTTATCCTGTTAACAGAATGGAGTTTGGAATAAATAAGCCTCTAATCTGAGCTTAAAGATGAATCTGATGAGGTAGACCAAACTCACCTCTTTTCAAGTAGAAAAACTTGCTCTTAGTATTTATTTCCAGTTCATAACCCTGAGTGATAGGAGCCGATCTTTAGATTCGCTACACGCTAGACACATGCTAAACAATTTACATGGAATTAGCTCATTTAATCCTCTTACAAGCTATGGCCCCCATTTCAGAGGAAGAAATAGGCTCAGCAAGATAAAGTCCTTAGCTCAGGATCAAACGTGAGTGACAAAAAAAACTGACAGATGGGGGGCCTGGGTGGCTCAGTGGGTTAAGCCTCTGCCTTCAGCTCAGGTCATGATCTCAGGGTCCTGGGATTGAGCCCCACATCGGGCTCAGCGGGGAGCCTGCTTCCCCCTCTCTCTCTGCCTGCCTCCCTGCCTACTTGTGATCTCTGTCAAATAAATAAATTTTTAAAAATCAGGAGAAAGGAAAAGAACAAAGGAAGATAACTGCATTGTCTAATCTAGAGATATGAAGAACTAGGTGCCTTGGAAAGAAGCAGTCGACTTAGAGGGACGGGTCAGAGCAAAGATGGCTGGGTTTGATTTTAGATATGCTGAACTTGAATTTCTAACCGCACATGCTGGTGGGAATGCTCAGAAAGAAACATGTATCAGGTGCTCACTTTGTAGCAGACACAGTGCTACACCTCCCATTGCCTGTAGAACAGAACCTGAAACTGTTACATGGTCTCCCACGCGCTGCAAGATCTGGCCCCTGGCCAACCCTTATCCCACATCTCAGACCACCCTCTGCCTGCACATAGCCCCTCTGTCTAGCACAGTGCCTGACACAAGGCACTAATGAAACTAATAAACGAACATAGTTCCTCCTTTATTGAATGAAACTAATAAACGAACATAGTTCCTCCTTTATTCTTCATAACAACCTTCAAGGTGGGGCAGAGTGCCCCCATATTTATTGATGAAAAGAGTGCTGCAAGGAGTTCAGGGTTGGAGACCGCTGATTTTTGGGTCTGTACAGAGCTGCGGCTAAAGTGGGATTGTATGTGATCTGATGCCACCAAAGTAGGATCTTGTGTGCATATACAGAAATCTCCTACCGGTTCTGTTCTTCTACCATCTCTCTATATTATTAGTCCTCGCCAAGAAACTTGCAAAGTAGTTTTAGCTACATCTCACAGATCTGAAAACAGACTCAAGGTAACCCGTCTGGAGTCCCCAGGCTTAAAAAATCAGCAAAGCTGAGATTCTAACCAAGTCTGCGTTTCCCACCACACTTGAAAACTCCCTGTATGCCCCAGGTTCTCCGAGCAGTTCATTGGAGGACCCTGCATCCCTCCCAGCCTCCGTGAGTGACTGCCTGTTCCCACACACTTTGAACCTGACCTCCCTCCCACCCTCAGCATCAGAACTCTCTATCCATATAAAGCCTACCCTCAGCTCATCCCGCTATCAGGACTATAGAGTGCCCTGCTTTAAAAGAGCAACAAGTGCTCCCCCCAAAATTAGTCCCACAGATGTTTCCTCGAAAATGCTTGTTAGTATGTAAGTACAACACACTAACAATTAGGAACATTGTTAGTAACTACAAATAACTGTCTGAAAAGCCTTCACCTTCCCTCTTTAGGCTTTTGCCCTCTGCTGAAAGTCGGTCAGCTGGATCCTTGGCACCAGCACCTCGCAAATGCATAAGCTTTTCCACCCCAAACGCAAGGCATCTTCCCTAACCACGAAGCTCTGCTCCTGTCAGCACTTTCATCAGAAAGTATTACAGAGTTTGGTTTTAAGAGCCTGAGAAACCCCTTGTTTTTTTTATAAGAGAGGAAGCATAAATATGTGCAGGTTTTCCGGATAAAACAAGAAAAACACACTCTGGTTCAAAACCTAGAAAGCTGGTGCTAGGGAGATGAAAGGTGATTTCCTGTTGCCTTTTTTATTATATTTTATTTTTTGATGTGGAGGGTGGGACAGGGGAAGGAAATGGGATAAGAAAGCAAATTATCCCCGTCATTTTTGAGGAAACGTAACTGTTTCCAAAATGCAAGAAGAAAGGCTTCATTAAAACTGCAAGTACATATGTTCCACGGGAGGGGTTTGGAATTAAGGTAATTGAGAATTTTAAAAAAGGAATTGAAATGAGGTTTCAACTCCAGATTACTAAGTAAAATTAGTCAATACACAAAAGGTCACACAGATAGGCAGAACTTACTACAGAATGCCATTTGTAGCAAGGAAACACATCTCCCAGCTCTGGGAGAGTTGTAAAATAAGCATATCCTGAAGAGCCCACAGAGGAACAGCACCAGAATCAAAGTTCTGGGGATCTACCCCCTGCCTCCAGCATAGTGGTAAACAATAAACTAAGGTATATTAAAATTTATACGGGGAAGCTGGCTGGCTCAGTGGAGCATGCAACCCTTGATCTTGGGGGTATGAGTTCAAGCCCCCATGTTGGGTATAGAGATTATTCAAGTAATTACAAAAAATTTAAACATAAATAAAAATAAAAAACACATTCTACTTTCCTTCCTTACTTTTCATACACAATTGTTTTCTTTCACCCTTACTATTTCTAAGTAGTTTTAATTACATATATTAATTAGAATTCTTAACCCTTAGAATCCTTATTTTTTTATTTTTCTTAACATATAACAAATTGTTTCATGGGTACAGGTCTGTGAATCATAAGTCGTTCACAATTCACAGCACTCACCACAGCACATAGCCTCCCCAATGTCCATCACCCACCTACCCTATCCCTCACATCCCCTCCCCTCCAGCAGCCCTCAGTTTGTTTCCTGAGACTGAGAGTCTCTTATGGTTTGTCTCCCTCTCTGGTTTGTTTCATTTTTCTCTCCCTTCCCCTATGATCTTCTGCCTTGTTTCTCACAGAGTCCTCGTATCAGGGAGATCATATGGTAATTGTCTTTCTCTGACTGACTTATTTCGCTCAGCATAATACCCTCTAGTTCCATCCACGTCATCGCAAATGGAAAGATTTCATTTCTTTTGATGGCTGCATAGTATTCCATTGTATATATACACCATATCTAATACACCACATCTTCTTTACCCATTTATCTGTTGATGGACATCTAGGTTCTTTCCATGGTTTTGCTATTGTGGACATGGCTGCTATGAACATTCAGGTGCACCTGCCCCTTCAGATCACTACATTTGTATCTTTTGGGTAAATACCCAGCAGTGCGATTCCTGGGTTGTAGGGGAGCTCTATTTTCAACTTTTTGAGGAAACGCCATACTGTTTCCAGAGTGGCTGCACCAGCTTGCATAGAATCCTTACTTTCTTATGAAAGCAGGGACGTAAGCAATAGTGGACTGTTACACTAGTATTCTGGGGACTGGCAGATTTATAAATACATTTCATTATTTCTAGTAGTGTATCTCTCCTCACAGCAAATTTTTCAGTGTGGCCCAAAACATACTTACCAATAGACTCAAACATCCTTAGTTCCTCTGTATAAAAAGCCAAAAGTATGGGGTGCCTGGGTGGCTCAGTGGGTTCAAGCCTCTGGCTTCAGCTCGGGTCACGATTCCAGGATCCTGGGATTAAGCCCCGCATCGGGCTCTCTGGTCAGCAGGGAGCCTGCTTTCCTCCCTCTCTGCCTACTTGTGATCTCTGTCTGTCAAGTAAATAAATAAAATCTTTTTTAAAAAAAAAAGCCAAAAGTAATTAAACTTGTGTTCAATAACTGATATTCTAGTATTTTATCTTATTTGGAAATGATGTAGATATTCCGTGAATATCTGTCATTTAACCTAACTTAGAATAACTTTCTCCTAGTTTCCAAGCAGCATCCCCACCCCTAACCGCAGTTTTTCTGTCCCTTCAGATAAGAATTACCTCCCTGAAGTCCCCATTTCAAAGAAATGGCTCTGGATACCTAGAGAACATAAGTAGAACATTTACATCTCAAAGGCGCAGGGAGAGGATATAAATTCCATCAAAACGGACTTTTATTTCCTAAATCCAGATGTTTTATAGCAAACTTTTTGAGATGAGCAGGAGAGGTTTGGGGATGGTGTAATGGATTTGAACTGTTTGTAGAGCCACATTTCTGGTCTTGAAAAATGAGATTTGTCAGGACAGTACAGTTGTTTTTAATTTCTCAAAGAACTGGGTTGCAACCTGAATGCGCAAGAGGCTGACTGACCCTCCCATCCACCTACATGATCTTCAATTTGCTGCTTCATTTATTATTAGGAGGATTTTTAAAAAAGATATTATTTACTTATTTGACAGAGAGAGAGAGGAGGATTTTTTAAAAAGATATTATTTACTTATTTGACAGAGAGTGAGCGCACAAGCAGAAGGAGCAGCAGAGGGAGAGGGAGACGCAGGGGACACAGGAGATGCTCAGCGGGGAGCCCGATGCAATGCGGGCACTCAGTCCCAGGACCCTGGGATCATGACCGAGCCAAAGGGAGACACTTAATTGACTGAGCCACCCAAGCGCACCCATTAGGGTGATTTCAACTAAAATGGAAATTAAAAGATTCATAAGCTTTAGATTTAGAGCTGTGTGCCTTTATGATTTAGTAAATCCTTTCACAGTGGCTTGGGAATGTTTTTCTTTCCCTTTTGGTTACATAGTTTCATTTTAGAGGAAAAGCTTTTTTTTTTTTTTTTTTTTTTTTAAGTTCCTATCAGGTTCTGAATATTAGCTTCCAATCTGGCCAACTTCTGACCGCAGAGCTCACTAAAAATCCTTTCAAGTATCTTATTAATAGTTTTTAGCTGGGAGAACAGTAAACGTTTTTCTTTTTCTTTTAAGCCAGAGGTTTCACTGTCAGATGACTCAAAACCCAAACTAACAAACCCTTTATGACTTAACCATGGACAGAAAAGGCGCTCCCAAGGAGGGGACAAGAGATGTTATCTCCCGACACCCTGAGTTACTCCCAAAGAGAACCCAAAGGAAAATTACGGACAAACCCCGACGGCTGGGCACGGCTGGCAGGAGACGCTGCATATGGGGTGCAACCCATATTTCTGGCAGCCATAGTTTTAGGCCCTCCAACCTGCACTTGCAAGAACTAATAACCTGTGTGTCCCAACAACAGGCAGAAAAGCCAAGCCGAGTTCTCAGGACGCAGAATGAGACAAAGGGAAAAGCATTATCTGTCTCCATACCTAGCAGGTACCCAAACAGAAATTCACGAGCCACAATTCAAAGATCTAATTCTCACAAATGTTTTCCTCCTGTCAACCTGAATTCAGAAAGGAAAGGACAGCATGAAGTTCACCATCCTCTCGCCAACGGGCACCACAGACAGAGATCCAGGAGAGCTAACTCTGGTAGGAATTCTCACCCTTTGCTGGCTTCTGCATTTTCCCAGGATCCCGTCTGTAGGCTCTGGAGTGAGTGGGGTGTCCCAGGAGGTCTCCTCCTGGTCATCAGAAATTGCAGAGGAGGAAAAATTATTTTCCCCCACCTTTTATAGTGAGTGTTTGGCTAAGACCCTTTTTTCTCAAGAGAACTGCATAAATGTAATTTATGTAATTTACGTTCACCTAAATTACAAATTCTCCACTGTGGCCACTGGCATTCACAATTACCTTTGGTAAGGCTAATCTGCTTGTTCAGCTTGAACACATTTTTTTATTCAGCTGAGGCCTCACACTGGACCCAGCCCAGTTTAAACTGGACCTAGTCCTTCCCCAGACCCAGGCCGGTGTTTAAGTTGAACGCAGTCGGTTTCTGGACCCAGTCCCTAAAAAGAAATGCTTCGATGAAGTCTGACAGTTCAGAATACCAAAGCTCTGGAGCTAGGACGGAAAGGGACTTGTCTATGACCTGCAGAGGCAGCGAGAAAGCCTTAAGCTCCATGTGCTAGGCAGGTGCCCGTGCCCCTTGTTCGTGGAGTTGGGAGGGGGGCGGTGGCAGGGTGGGTGGTCGGGTCTCCTTCCTTGGTTCTCTCTTCTGATACCAGAATTGTTAAAAGAAAAACTGAGGCATACTAAATAAATATGTTAAGAGTTTATTTGAGGAAAAATCAATTCAGGGGGAGGCTTTTACAGATAAAAGGTGGAAGCAAAGCAAGGAAGTTTTGGGTGGCTTATTTTGTTTTGTTTTTTAAGATAGTTTATTGATTTTAGGCAGGCCCTATGCCTGCCATGGGGCTGGAACTTGGGACTCTGAGATCAAGAGTCACACGCTCTACCGACAGGAACCAGTCAGGCACCCCAGCAAGGAACTTGTTGATAGTCTATGGTTGAAAGCCTAGTTCACCGGGATGAGTTGTCTTTACCATTTTAATTTGGTACCTCTGTGGCACTGACCAGCTCAGATTTTGGGTTGTTTCCAGAAACCCCCCTGGCGTTAGACTCACCTGTGTGTAAGGGCCTCCTTGTTTAATTAACTTAACCATAGGGGCGCCTGGGTGGCTCAGTGGGTTAAAGCCTCTGCCTTTGGCTGGGGTCATGATCCCAGGGTCCTGGGATCGAGCCCCGTATCAGGCTATTCGCTCAGCGGGGAGCCTGCTTCCTCCTCTCTCTCTGCCTGCCTCTCTGCCTACTTGTGATCTCTGTCTGTCAAATAAATAAATAAAATCTTTAAAAAAAAATTAACTTAACCATAGTTACCAAAAGGATTTTCCATTTGGTTTACTCTGATGCTTGCTTCTGAGCCTATGGTGACAAATTCTACTTTCTGAGTCTGGATGGGTGGAGGGAGGGCCTGGGATGGTCAGATCACAGTTTCCTCCTCCCCTCAGGAAGTAAAGTCCACTGGCAGGAGTGACCACATTGGCTCGGCCTCACAGACTTAGAATGCTTGCTTGTGTTCACAGTGCAGCCGAATGAAATGCCTTAGAAAAAGGAGTCACTTTGTCAAAAATTCTATACTTTTCTTCCCAGATTGCCTCATTGCTGAAGGATTCCTTTGCTGAAGACCACATCAAAGGTAAGAAAAAAATGGGACTGTGTGCTGGGGTTAATTTTCTGTAATTTTTTTAAAAGATTTTATTTATTTATTTGACAGAGAGAAATCACAAGTAAGCAGAGAGGCAGGCAGAGAGAGAGGAGGAAGCAGGCTCCCTGCTGAGCAGAAAGCCCGACGTGAGGCTCAAACCAGGACCTGGGATCATGACCTGAGCCGAAGGCAGCGGCTTAACCCACTGAGCCACCCAGGCGCCCCAATTTTCTGTAATGTTTTGAATGAGCGGCACAGCCCAACCCCCACCCTCCTTCCCCGGCCTGCTCACCAGACAGCTGGCCATTCCACACACGCTGGCCGCAGCCTGGCCGTCCTGGAAGCAGCAGCCTGCCTGCCAGTCTGATGGTGGGAAATAAAGAATACCGCATGCCATCCTCAGAACATTTACATTTCTTTCTGCTACTTCTCTTTATATATATATATTTTTTACTCAACCACTTGGGAGAAAATAGCAGGTTCTAGGATACTTCACTCCTGAGACCAAGAACATGCTCCCAGCAGTACCACAAGACCACCACCACCCTTAAGAGATTTCACATGGTCTACTAGAAAGTCCAGAAGTGGACTTCCAGAATTTCCTCCAAGTGACCTCCTGGAGTCCTTTACAACTTGTTTTCTGGTCCAGGATTCATTCAAGGAACGATCATGGCATTTTTGTTGTCACATCTATTTAGTTAGTCCCTTAGAATATTTTCATTTTGGCAATTACTTTGTAAAGGAAATTCCTAAACCCGAAGCTCTTCCTCCTTTCCTTATTTCTCTAAGGTCAAGAGCTCACCCAGAAGACCAGAGGGTGATGCATGACTTCCCCTAGGATGCGGCATGTAGACCTAGGCCAGGGAGGCCAGTGCTAAGACAGGCCACCCTACAGAGAGGTCGGCTTGTAGTTAACTCCTTTGTAATTCCTGCCTGAAATAGCAAACCAAGTGGTCATCTTTCAGATGCCATTCATATCTCTGCGATGGCTTTGATGTCTCTCAAATTATGGCCTTTCATTAGCTTTTTCTTACCTCTCCCATGGTTCTGCCTGGATTGTGATTATAGAAAAACAGGGATGGGAGAAATAGTCAGGCAGACTTATATGTAACTAAGGCCATACCCCAAGATAACTGTCAAAGGCCTCTGGACTTGCCAGGTGAAGTTAGGCAGCAGGCCTCCAGAAAAATCCACAAAGACAGTACAAAGCCCTGCTTGCATTTTTGAGGTTGAGATCAGAGCCTGTCAACAATTTAGAAATGAGGAAATCATCTATTTTTAAAGGGGTGGGCTACAAAAAAATTACAAGTGGTTTTACACCACAGAGAAAAATAAAGTTTAGAAGTTTAGATCAGTTTCTTGTCAACTGAGTCAACTGTTTTGGTATTGTCACAGAGACCGAGCATCATGACGCAGAGGGCAGGGAAGGCCCAACCATACACTGAAGCCCTGGATGGAGGTTGGGGATGGATGATTGTATTTCATTTCTTCCTGGTAAGAATTTACTTTCCCCTTTTCTACTGCCCCCAAGAAGGCTCCTCTGGAGAAAGGCTCAGAGCAAATCCAGGAACTGCCAACAGCTTCCCAAGTCAGTGGCCCACACTGAACTCAGGAGAAAAACGTCCTCCCTGAGTGAAAGACAATTTGTTCCCCTCTAGTCCCCTCTTCGCTACCAACACCAAACCTACAGAATGTTCCAGCCACCACCTGCAGCTCTACCCTGGCTGCATGGCAATTAGGATGTGTAGATAATCATACATTGAAGCACCCCAGAAGTAGCAGTGGGAGGTGCTGGAAAGTGCTGTTGGGTGGGTTCCCAGCTCAACCCAGCATACACAGGGCAGCAACCTCCCTCTCCCCCAGGGGATGGGGCCATTGTCTCTCTGTTCTGTCTGCTGTCCACTTCCCAACCCATCCTTGCAACCCTAACTTATGCTATAATTCGAACCACCATGTCTTTCTGACATGTCTGGAAAGGGAGAGAAGTGTGTGGATTCTGAAACCGGGACCTGATTTTTCTCCATTCTGTAAGCAATTGGACTGGGCACTCCCATTTCCTAAGTAACTTCTCTCATCCTCCCAGAGGCTCTTAAGGTTGTTGTGAGACATGGTGATCTGAAATGTCGGCATGGCCATTCTAGAATATTGGTGAGTCCCATCCCACCTGTGCCCCAAGCAAGCCTCTAACAGTGGCACCAGCTCCATATTCCACATCAGTGTTCCCAAATCGGTTCACTTTGAGATGGACTCACGATGGTACCCTTTCTCTCCTGTTCTCCTCCCCTGCTCCGCCCTACAGTAAGAGGCTCACAAACACAGGACTGCGGGTCTTGGTGACTATTAGTTAATAATCCTGCAGCCCACAATGTGATACAAGAGCTCCATGAACAGGACGATGGGAAAACATCATACCTCCTCCTCCCTAATGACAAAGGGGAAAGTAGCGACACGGGTCCTCAGGCAGGATTTATGTAATACAAATCTCTTACCAGAGGACGATTAAACATTAGCTTCATTACCAAAGAATGTGTACTCACTTTTTCTTGAGCTCTCCCAGACATGTTATTAATAAGGAAGCTAAGGATGGCCTAAGGCCAAGAGCCCTCCCAGGAGCTGGGCCACGTCCCCAGATCACGGATTTTGCAGAACTAGCATTGCTGGTGAGGGTCTCCAGATCTCCCACCTTTCTCCCCAGTAACGAGCCTTACTTTCCCAACATGGTCCTCTGGGGAGAGGTTATTTGATGAATGTAGTTGCTGGAAAGAAACACTGCCTAATAACCAGATTATTAAACAGTGTTCAGTGTTCCACTTTTCTGGATGTGATGCTGGTGACAGAAGCACAAGGAATATACTGAGTCCTCAAGCGTTAACAATGGGCTCTGGCTAAGTGACTGCAGTGGTACATGGATACTTACAGGACTATGGCTTTCTGTCTGCATGAGTTACAAGTATATTTTTCTACAATAGAAAGGAGGTGAGTGAAAAATCCTGGAGCATGTGGCTAGTGCAACTAAGAACCTACATTATAGAGGCAGGGGCTGAAAAACTGTAATTTGGTTAAATAACTAAATAAAACAAGGGGCTGGAGTGTACAATATATTCATACAGACACCCTCAGGAGCACGTTCAAGTCAAGTGTGAACTCCACACCCCTTTCCCTAGTCCTGACCTCACACTCTGGAACCCCAGGATCCCTCCATATACAACCATGCACACTTTATTTGAAAAAGGGAGCCCCAGTATATTTTGATGCAGCATCCAACTTAATTAAAATTACACAAAATGAGAATTAGCCTCCAACTTAATCAAAATGATACTGAAATTCATTTAATATTAAAATTCAAACAGCCACATGTACAGGTTACTGTACTGGACAGAACAGTTCTACAGTCTATCCTGTGGCCTATTATAAAATGTTCTTTTCAGATTACCAGCTTAATAATTATGTTTTAACCAGTTAATAAATGAGAGGTACGGAAAGGCCCTTCAGTAGAGTTTTTTTTTTTTTTTTAAAGATTTTATTTATTTATTTGACAGAGATCACAAGTAGGCAGAGGCAGAGAGGCAGAGGCTTTAACCCACTGAGCCACCCAGGTACCCGGAGGCCCTTTAGTATTAAAAAGTCAAGTGCATGGGGCGCCTGGGTGGCTCAGTGGGTTGAGCCGCTGCCTTCGGCTCGGGTCATGATCTCGGGGTCCTGGGATCGAGTCCCGCATCGGGCTCTCTGCTTGGCGGGGAGCCTGCTTCTCTCTCTCTCTCTCTCTCTGCCTGCTTCTCTGCCTACTTGTGATCTCTCTCTGTCAAATAAATAAATAAAATCTTAAAAAAAAAAGTCAAGTGCATGGGAGAGGAAAATGAGTGAGCAAGAAGCCAGAACCTGAGGAAACAGGGATGGATTTTAAGGTACTCCAGGGCTTATCTTGGTTCTGAGATGTAGCTGTGGGCCTCTGGCAAGTGATTTAACCTCTCAAGGGCACCTTCACCCTCCGGGAAGAGGGGTGGTAACAGCCCTCACCTCCAGGCAGGGGTGACTACATCATTTGCAGGGTCTGGTGCAAAATAAAAATGTACGGCCCCTCATTCAACAATTCTTAAGAATTAAAAAAAAAAAAATGGGGCGCCTGGGTGGCTCTATGGGTTAGGCCTCTGCCTTCAGCTCGGGTCATGATCTCAGGGTCCTGGGATTGAGTTCCACATCGGGCTCTCTGCTCAGCAGGGAGCCTGCTCCCCCCCCCCCCCCCCCCCGCCGTCTGCCTCTCTGCCTACTTGTGATCTCTGTCAAATAAATAAATAAAATCTATTTATTTTAAATATTTAAATTTAAAAAAAAAAAAAAGAAAGAAAAAGAGAAAAATCCAGTAACAAAATGTTCTTTGGGAGTGCTGTACTTTAAGAGGGCTCATTCTTGGGATCCTGGCTGGCTCAGCTGGTGGAGCATGTGATTCTTGAATTTGGAGTTATGGGTTTACATTCCATGTTGGGTGTAGAGATGAGTTAAAAATAAAATATTTACAAAGAGTTAAAAGTTTATTTTAAAAAAATGATTTTATTTAACAGAAAGAGAGAACACAAGCTGGGGGAGTGGCAGGCAGAGGGAAAGGGACAAGCAGGCTCCCCAGTGAGCAGGAAGCCTGATGCGGAACTCGATCCCAGGACCCTGGGATCATGACCTGAGCCAAAGGCAGACGCTTAACTGACTGAGCCACCCAGGTGCCCCAAAAGAGTAAAAGGTTTTTAAAAAGGACTCATTCTAACTTCCCACACTCTGTAACTATATATTTGCATGAGGTTTTTTTTGTTTTTCTGCTTTCTGTCTCACTGGACCGACTATCCCATAGCAGCAGGTACCCTGCTCACCGCCGTAAGCCTGGCCCCTCATAGTGAACAGCCTGGGACACGCCAGGCACTCAGTAAACGCCTGCTGTTGGGTGGGTACGCTGGATGGAGGGATGGATGAACTGACTGTTGGACACACGTGTGAATAAAGCAAGTGACAATGAGGAAATTGGAAATGGGCAGGGCCCTTGCAGGGACATTTTTAAAACACTGGTTTTTATGTTGAGGCTGAGGAGCTAATGAGAAAAAGCAAGCAGGGGAATGGTGGGATCAGATCTGCATTTCGGGAAAACAGCTCTGCCGGCAGGGTGGATGACGACTGGCAGGGGACAGGCCTGGAAGCACCGAGACCACTGGAAGGGTGTTGTGATCATCCACGTGAGCAAAAAAGGCCCTAAATGAAAGCAGTAGCAGTGAGAATGGAGCAAATACAGGTCAGTGCAATATGGAGGAAACGGACCTGTAAGATTTGGACAGGAACAGAGTATTAGGGCAAAAGGGACTCAGGAGTCCTGGGATGTTGGCTTTCGCAACTTGGAGGATAGTGCGTCATTCACTGAGTTGGAGGACACAGGAAGAACGTCTGAAGGTACTTGGATGGCTTAATCCTGGGCAGGGACAGTGGGACCTGCGACATTACCAGTAATGTCAGCAGCCCACGGGCAGGTGGAGTGCGGGATCTGTGTACTGAAATCTGTGAGTCATCGGCATACATGGGTTGGCTTGAACCAATAGGCAGGATGGGTAAAATCACCAGGGAGGAGGAGAAGAGCAACTCAGCAGAATCCTGGGGAAAACTGATGTTAGGGGTTGGGCGGAGAGTGTCCCATGGAGGAAACCAGTGGGAGAAGTGGGGAGGCAGCATCCCAGAAGCAAAGGCAGAAATGTCCAGGAGCAAAGAATAATGAACAGATGCTGCCCGAGGCGGGATGTCACAGAATGGATGACGGGGTTTGTAAGTTCACCAAAAAGGAAGCCTCTGGTAGCCTGGCTGAGCATCCCTACAGTCAATGGTGGGATGTGAGGAAGCAGGGATAACCTAACAGACTGTTCTCTAGTTTGTGTAGTCCAGGAAGGAAGAGCTGGGGGGATAAGAGAGAGAGAGCCGGAGTAGAAGGAAGTTGTTGTTAAACAATCACCCAATCATTTCTGACAAAGCCTCATGCTCTCTATTCAAAAGGGGCCCCCTGGCTGATCCAGCCCTCTTTCCCAAGACAATTTTCTAATGAGAGTGATCTGGTGAGGGAGCTCTGTGTATGAGTGTGTGTGTTTTGGGGGGGGTGCTCTTAAAGGTACAAAGAAAATGAGGCGGTTGGGTCAGCCACAGGAGAACTTCTAGGGGCTTGTATTTTGGGGTGAGCCCATTTACAATGTCTGAGATAGACTCTGGACAGGGCTGAAACCCACCTACCTTAGATAAAAGTCAGAATATAGGCAGAATATAGACGTACCTAGTCTGCTTGGATAACCATAGGAAAATCCAGATCTTGGGAAAGAGTTTTGATATCTAAGTCAAAACAGAAACAAAGTTGGAAGGTTACAAGTCGAGGGAGGGAGGGAGAGCTGATGCAAAGGCTGTGTCCTTGGCTTTCTTGACACACAGTGGAAAGCACAGACCTACTTGTCAGAGACAAGCAAGCCCCAGCTACTCACTGTTGCTCTGCCCAGACATCAAGGACAGACCAGAGAGAAAAGGTCCTGAACTGGGAATGGGTGTGGGGACAAGCCCATTTCAGGTGGCTAAGAAAGGAGAGGTCAGCACCATCTAGACAACAGCACAGAACCCAAGTCCACAGACAGAGGAAGGGTACTTTACAGAATAATGCCTCATTGTGGTGTCTCCTGCTCATGAGAGGCTGCAATCGCCACTCTGCTTTCCAAACTGGGCAAGACAAGTGGGGGGCCGCCTGAGGTCTGCTCTGCTCTCTAGCCTCAGTTCCTGATAGAAGCAACTCTGAGGAATAGGAGGATTATAAATTGCCGGAATAAGGGCCTGATAAAATGTCCTCTTCACTTGTGAATGGATAGCCCGGGTTTCCGTGGCATTGTTCACTCTGAATAAGGACAATTTTGCGCTACTATCAAATCAAAACAGGAAAAATACATGAAGGGACCCCCTTCTCGCCACGCCCGACTTTTGCAACCTCAGGACACCACTGGTTCTTAGTCCCTTACTCCAGACAAGAAAAAAATACTAGTTTGAAACAAAAGTCAAGTGAAGAGGCTGGAGGGGGAAGCTGCTAGTTAGGTAGCACGTGGGGGCTGAGGGAAACAGAGGCCCAAGAGGATGCAGATCTCTGACTCGGGTGAGCAAGACTGGGTTGATCCCAATGAAAGGAGAAATGAAAAGGAAAACCAGGTGTGGGATAAGGGGGAAAAAAGTCTGATTTTGGGGCGCCTGGGTGGCTCAGTGGGTTAAAGCCTCTTCCTTCAGCTCAGATCATGGTCTCAGGGTCCTGGGATCGAGCCCCACATCGGGTTCTCTGCTCAGCGGGGAGCCTGCTTCCTCCTCTCTCTCTCTCTCTGCCTGCCTCTCTGCCTACTTGTGATCTCTGTGAAATAAATAAATAAAATCTTTAAAAAAAAAAAAAAAGTCTGATTTTGGATGGGTTGACCAAGTTAGATACGGTGATTATACAAATGAGTCTGAAGCTCTTGAGAAAGCAAAACGGTTATAGGAGGTAACAAAACCACAGTTAAGAGTTTCAGTATTAAGTGCTATTCTTTATCTGAATTTTCTCAATCTTCAGTTCTGTGAGCATAGTATCTCCTTTCTCTTCACTTTACAAAGGAGAAAGCTTAACTGCTGTGAAGTAGTTTGCCCAAGGTCACAACCCCTCCGAGGAAGTGCTGCCAGGATTCAGGCCAAGGGGCGCTGATCTCTGAACAGTACTCGTCACCATGACACTATGAATATGACGGCATCTTAAGGTTCAAGTGAACGACTGTCTATGGCCCAGGTACAGAGTGGGATGAGTCAATGACAGCGGGTAATACTCACCAGGCAGACAGAGAAAGTGGAATTAGTGAAAGGAAGCCCAGGGTCTGTGGTTCATAAGTGATGCGTGGCCAGGCTGAAAGCAGAGAAAGTGGCCTGGAAAGCTAAAGCCACTGAAAAAAGAAAGGGGAAGCCTGGAAGCTCGTGGGGACAGTGAGTGCCCACGGCTCCTGTGCTGAGTGCCCAAAGACTCTGGCCTGGTGGCTTCCCTTCCGGCTCCTCCTGCTGACCCCAGGGTACTGCCCCCAGGGTAATGGGAATTCTAAGCAACAAATGTTAGCATGCCACAGAAAGAAAACTTGACCTCAAAAGGGATATTCCTCCTAGTGAGAGGGAGAAGGGTAGTGCTGGCAAGGAGGGTTAGTTGGGACAAAAGGAAGGATGGGGCACGTGACCAACCAGAAGCTGACTCTCCAACTGTTTACGCTCACTATTCTAGCATCAGTTAGTAGTGCTCCCTTCTGCCCTCCAGTGTTTCCGCTGGGACGGTATAGGGCCACCCTATTTATATACCAAGTGAGGAAGGGTACTCAATTTAAGAGCAAAGTTAGCAAAGCTCATCTAAGAACCGATGGAAACAATTCATCTTTTGGACCAATGTGCTTCTCTCACAAGAGTTAAATGCAACTAGCTGTCTTTAACAGATACGATTCTGACAGTGTCTTTAACAGATACGATTCTGACAGAACAGTACAGTGTCCGGTTTGGAGTCAGTCTATTTGGGTTCAAATCTCACCTCCGGCACCCCCATATCAAGTTCAAGTGACTTTTAATCTCTCTAAACCTCACTTTCCAAAGAAAACATTGCTTGCCAGAGCCTTGTAATGAGGATTAAAGAAGATGCTCTTGTGTCAAGCACTTAGATACTCCAAGAGTAGGACCGCCCCACAAAATACAAAATGTATAATGTGGAACCAACCAACACACTGGTAAATACCGGTGACCTGGGGCCAGGGGGATGGGGTCAGAAGCACAAGCAGCTGTAACCTTCTCTGTGACGGCTCACTCACCACCTGACTTGGACTCTTTGGTCTGCTTTGCTTTAGGTAAACGTGTTTCTGATGGGGATGATCAAGACGTTCGCCATTTTCTTTGTGGTCTTCCAAGAAAAATTTGAAAGCTCCTCAGAACAAACTGCCTGGATCGGATCCATCATGTCATCACTTCGTTTTTCTGCAGGTATAAAGCTGGCAATAAGCTTGCTGTCCAAGGAAAAGCACCACAAAGGGCAATCCTGAGAAGATTTGTCTGTCAGTCATTTAAGGCTGAAGCATTGCTAAAACCCAGATTCATGAATAGGTAAAGCTGAGAAAAGTTATGGACTCAAAGTGTTTGGCCTCTTCTTGGCTTGACAAAATCAGAAGAAATGGGGTTCAAAAAAAGCTTAAGAATCCAACTATTAAAGTCCATGATTCAATTTTTTATGCCTTATTTCTTTTCACAGTGCCTAAACACGGGTTCAGTGAGCCAGTCTCTCTGGGAAATCAGACCACAAAGTTCTTAAGCCCAACATCTAAGCATATTCAAAACACAGCGAACCAATTCCTCTTCCCTTGCTTCTATTTGGGGCTCAAACATGACAGAGTAGATTAATGATTGAATCTTGTTCTAGTCATAGATAACTAGGTGCAATCTCATTTTGTGGGTTTGGTTTTTTTAAGGTTTTACTTATTTAAGTAATCTGTACACCCAATGTGGGGCTTGAACTCATGACGCTGAGATCGAGTCACATGTTCTTCTGACTGAGCTGGCCAGGTACCCCTCGTTTTGTGGTTTTAGAATGCATTTTTCAAACCTATTTGCAATCGTCTTTAAAACAAACAACTCTTTTTCCAAAAAATACAATAGTGTGGGACTGGGAATATTATGAAGCCCAATAGAGACACCTTTCTGAAGGATACACAATATTCTAGTCAAGTCCTCTTGTTTTCCTTCAGTTGCTCATTTCTATTGCACATCAGAAAATAAGAAATGCCAGAGCGTATTTACCTAGTATTTGCCTTTCTTCCTTTTTCCGAGGTCCCCTGGTTGCCATTATTAGTGAAATAACTGGAGAGAAGACTGCCTCCATTCTCGGGGTTTTCCTTGTTTCTGGTGGATATCTGATCAGCAGCTTGGCTACTAACATCCCCTTTCTTTGTGTGACTATGGGACTTCTACCTGGTGAGTCCACTGTAAAAATAAGACTGTAGAAGATGAGACTAGGAACCTTCCTTCTTACTGTCTTGTCCATGGACCCAACAGGCCTACTTACATTATCTCAGGTCCAGGAGAATAGCTCATCTGGTACCAAGCCACTTCATGTGATTCCAAGCTCCTGTTCTTTTTAGGTTTGGGTTCTGCTCTCCTGTACCATACAGCTGCCGTGCTAACTACCAAATACTTCAAGAAACGATTAGCTCTTTCCACAGCTATCGCCCGTTCTGGGATGGGCCTGACGTTTCTGATAGCGCCTTTTACAAAAGTCCTGATAGATCTGTATGACTGGACAGGTAAGTCACTCTGTCTGAACTATCAACTCCACAAGGTACGTTCAGCTCTCTCCCTCAAATGAGTGGGAAGTGCAGACTTTTTGAGCCAGGGAAGAAATAAGTAAGCAGGACTTCTACAGTAAAGTAAATATGTGCCTCCTCTTCCTTGGAGAACACACAGCAGAAGATATGCTGAACTATTTGCAGGCTTCGCCACAGACCACACGAGCAACTCAGAGTTCACAGGACTCACGTCTGCGGGGATGGAGGCCACTCTGTGCAGCTGGAGAAACACCTTGCAGGGAAAGTGATACTCCTGGGGACACACGGATTCCCTTCTCCTCTTGTACCACTGAAGCGCTCTCTTTTCAAATATTCTCTTTAAAAAATGCCTCCTCCACCTGACTCACTAAAATAGACCTTAATCTCTTCTACACCATCATCTATATATAAATTTTTTCACAAACAAATGAAAACCATTCACTCCACAATTTTCTTTGTGCCTGACCTAAAACATTCAGATTTAAATAATCTTAAATCACTGGAAAAATATATGTACATGTACATATATAGGGATATATATGAGCCTATTTCTACCTACAGAGCCTTTTTGCTGCCTCTTTCCTTTCCCAAGTGAAAAACTACCAGTGGTCTCATGGTAAACTGAACCAGGGGGCAAATCCCTAAGACAGGATAGCAGAACCTACAGCCAATTCCATCTCTGGAAACATCGCACACAACCCATAGCTTTGGTCAGACCACGCTGAAACCAAGCCTGACATCTGTCTTCTTTCAAGGAAATTAAAAATGGAATGAAATGAAAGGCTGGCCCCTCTTCTAAGGCAGTTTCTGAATGACTCTCATCATCTAACTCTAGAATTCTGTATTTTCTGTCCTGAAATCTATATCCCCACTTCAGGATATTTTAAATCCCTATTTAAAAACTACAGTAATTTTCTAACATTTCGAATACCCACCCCCCGTACTCTCCCCAAAAACTATTCTTTTTTTCTCTCGCACAAATAACACTCTCTCCCTCCAGGTCATCTCCTGGTGCAGCTTTCTGGTTTTCTATTTTCAAAGGACGCCCTGTTTTCACAAGGATACAGTGGTGTGTAGGGCTAAAAATAAACAGATTTCGATACTTTAGTTAAATTTAGGGGACAGAGTAGTGTTTTCAAAAATTATTGCACTATGACTGAATATATTCATGGTGGGCCCCTCCTAAGCCTAAGAACAGAGTATTGTGAAATGAGATGGGTAATTTTTAACCTAACTTCTCACTGTCTCTCCCCCATTTAGGTGCCCTTATACTACTTGGAGGGATGACATTAAATTTGGTGCCTTCAAGTATGCTCTTAAGATCCATCCATATCAAAAGCGAGAACAATTCTGATATTAAAAATAAAGGCAGCAGCTTGTCTGCAAGTAATCCAGGGGCAGTGGGCACGACAGAAATGTCATCCTGCGATGAGACACAAGAGGCAACAATCATGGAGAGTGCAACGCAAAAGGCCAGACAACATGGGACAAATTTAATAGTCTCACAGAACAAAGAATTCAACAATGAGCCTAATGGGGACCGTTATGAGAAAGAGGCTACTTCATGCAGCTGTAAACAAAAACTCGGTGACATCTCCCTTTTAAAAAATCCTTTCTTCTACATATTTACCTGGTCTTTTCTCTTCAGTCAGCTGGCATATTTCATCCCTACTTTCCACCTGGTGGCCAGAGCCAGAACACTGGGGATTGACATGATGGATGCCTCCTTCCTTATTTCTGTAGCTGGTAAGAAAGCATACTTTGACCTCAAACTCAAAAGGAAGACTGAACTTAATTTTACAAAAATTTATTCAATTTTATAAAAAACTAAAGAAAATAATTCTTTTAAAAAGGAGTCATGGGAGGGCCAGAAAAAAGGAAGTCTTTTGAGGCTGGTGGGAGAACCAGGCCTGTCCTTCCACAGATCTGTCACCGCACCTTGCACACAGGCACTCTTTATCAGAGAGTGGCCCCTAAGCAAGCCTCGTTCATTTTCATGTCAGTGTCTGTCTGACATAGTACACATTTAGTATTTGTGGCATAAACACGTGACTTTAAAAAGCTGGCAACAGCCACCTCCAGGAAGCAGGAAAATCATAGGCAGACAGCACAGGGCAGAGGTTCAAAGGATTGGTTCTTTGGACTTCCTGGGTTCAGGTTTTGCTCTGTATTTCCTAGCTGTAGGACCTTGGACAAGTTACGCATGTTTTCTGTGCCTCAATTTCTCAGTTCTTCATCTGTAATATAGGGATAATACGGTTATCAGGACTGAATGAGCAATGCATGTAGAGTTTAGAATAGTGCCTGGCCCATCATAAGCATTCAATAATGTTCTATAGTATGGGTAGCTAAGAATTTTTGCCCTTGCATTCGCACTAAGACAGATAAATATGCCTGTTAAGGCCATTCACTAACGGACCAGGCTGATACTTAAAAAAATTTACAAGGTTAAGTTAAAAATGAAAACAATCATTTTAGTTGAGTATTTATAAAAATGTAAGGAGACAAAAATGCTTAATTCAAAAGATCTGGATTCTCTCAACGGACAAAATAGGGAGCCTAAAAAAATTAAAGGGATGACATGGACTGTTCTAAATATCTGGAAATTCTATGTAGCTTGATGTTAACTTTTCTCTCCCTAATTTCTTGAAAAGACTGCTTACAAAATCCTTACAAAACTGACTATATGCCATTCCAACTGCAAAGATACCCCACTTCGGTCAACTAAAGCCTGTGTACACAAGGAAAAGATACATAGCTAATTTTTTTTATTAGAATGTCTGATAGTCATCAATTTAGATCAGATTAGGCTATGCAATGGGACCAAAGAACATAACAAAAAGTTTCCATATGTATCCTAGGAAGTAACTGTAAAAATAGAAATAGTAGTATGCATTTTCTGCCCCCCCTCCCTTTTTTGTGAAGCAATTTAGGAAGAATTTACACTACAAAGCAACTGTAGCTCATGCCACTCTTGGTGAAAATGTTCTATTATTTAACTGCTACACTAATTTATAATCGATAAAAAATAAGAATATTCTGTTACCGTGAAAATAAATGAAAAACATGGTACTTAAATTTTATTCAAGTTTACACCATAGCTCCAATGTTCAAAATGATCACACATTTCCAGATTTCCTACTTATTTCCCAAAAGAGCAAAACAAAACAACAAACAAAACAGATTTCCTATTTCCAAGCATAATAACCTTGACAGGGACACTTTAATTACCAAAACATCATGTACAACTGTAAGAAAAAGTCCCAACATCTATTTTTTTTCAACATAAGACTTTATTATTTATAATGTCGAGTCTTCCACCATCTGGCTTCCCCAGCACACTGCCCCGAGGGCCTACCAGTCTTTTAGAACTCTCACTCCCTCACCTGCACAACCTCTTTGAGGAAGGCCGCCTGAGTGCCCAGGCCTCTATAACCAGGGATTCCCAGTTAGGTGGTACAAGCTTTCCAAACCTGATGAGGGTAAAAACAAACAAACAAACAAACAAAACACCTGAGGGGTCTCCTACCCAGCTCTGGAGAAGTCTTTCTGGAGCTGTATTAGATGTATTGGAGTAGGTAAATAAATGACCGAATTGACTGACAGACATAAATGAGACCATTTTTTGCTCAGATGTCCTCACCTCAGGAAGAAGTTGTATTACTCAGGAAAAGAGGTCTTGGGCAGTTACACTTTCCAAAGGGGCTAGGGAAATGGAATTCGGATATCATAAGGTCTTCTCAATCTTGTTCCAGGTATCACTGAGACAGTCAGTCAGATAATCTCTGGATGGGTTGCTGATCAAAACTGGATCAAGAGGTATCATTACCACAAGTCTTACCTCATCCTCTGCGGCATCACTAACCTGCTCGCTCCTCTGGCCACCACATTTCCATTACTGATGACCTATATCGTCTTCTTTGCCATTTTCACTGGTGGTTACCTGGCAGTGCTACTTCCTGTACTGGTGAGTAGACATACTCATTAACACTGTTAAACCATTTAGAAAAAGCAAGTATTAGTAATAACTTCCCCAAAGAGATTACATATTCGGTATTAATTTTATAATTAAAAAAAAAAAATCACATGCAAGGCCTCAGAAACCCTGGTGCTGTATCCTGCCCACTTTTCATCTTACCTTCAGGGGAGGAATGGTGTGAGAACTATCTACATGAGACAAAAAAGAACCATTCTGCTTCTGTCTCCCAAAAGGTTAGGGTTGTGTTTACTTGTTTCCTTCAGCTCCAGAAATTTTTTTGGCTCCTTCTAAGATACCATCTTGAGGAATTCCATGAGAAAAAAAGGGACTTCCTGACCAGTGTGGCTTCTCTCTTGTTGAGACCAGTCCTATGTACTTTAATAGGGATGTTGATCAATTCCTCTACTTTTACCCCAAACTGACTTCAAGTCCTCGGCACAAAAGGAACAGAAATACTTATACAAATATTTCATGGATTCTTCTGGCTTGACGTCAATATTCATATAAGGGCTGTAGGATATTATACGAAGCCTACGTAAAAATCAAACTTTCTAAAGCTGAAATCAACCTGGGAAAACTGACTTCTTACAAACCAATGGCTGGTATTTAGCCATAGGTGGATTTGAGAATACCACTGTCAGATCAGAAAGTAAATACCATTTCCCAATAGAGAAGAGCCGTGAGGATCAAGGAAGAAAGGTACCCCGTGTTGCCTTAAAGATTTAAAATAAGAAACCCTATGCTCCTTACTAATACAATGAAAACACTGCCTGCCTGGCACAGTAACTCTTCCCTGTTTGTCTCAGCTCTTGTAAGATACCAAGGCAAAAGGCCATCCAAAATCACCTCAGAAGTCAACTGTTCATAGTATTTATCCCTTTGCAGGCATAGGTCTCAACAAGAGTTTTGCCTTCAATATGGCTAACACTGGATTCTAATCCCTACAGGTTGATCTGTCTGGGAATTCTAGAGTACACAGGTTCTTGGGATTTGCCGGTTTCTTTGCTGGGATGGCTGTCCTTTCTGGACCACCTATAGCAGGTAACAGCTTGGCCACATTCTGAGCAAACTTCAACATCTATGAAAGAAAATGCTGATCCATTATGTATGGTAACACGCAATAACAGTATCAGGTTAGAAACCTGAAGATATCTCTACTGTTCCTACACTCACTCTCACATTCAATCACCAATCCAGGAGAATCTGAGGATTCACTCAACACATAATAGGTGGTTAATTAAGCAGCTTCTTACAATATCTTGAGAGTCTTAGAGCAGGGATTGTATGTGTATCTCCTTGCCTGGGGAGACAATTGAGAGTTTTAGAAGATTCTCGAAAACTGATAATGCCTTAAACCAACCAACCAACCACTAGCATCTGTCATCTGAGCAGGAGTCATTACAGACCATGAAGGCTCTCTGACCCCTCTGCTGTTCAGATGTGCTACTCGCACAGCTTGTCCAGGGCTTCCCAGCATCTCTGATTTCCCAAGAGGGATGATGGAGGCCCTCCATCCCCTACCTGGACCGAAAGTGGGAGGATACCTGACCTACAGGCCAGGATCTCTGCGGAGAGGCCAACGAGTACAGGAAAAATTGAGGGAGCTTTGATATTTAAGCTAGCTTTAGACTAAAGCATTGTTTTGTATGCACTTTTAACTTAAAGGACATTTTGTGCTTGCTAAACATTTAATCTAAGACTCTGAAAATACTACTCACACAGAAATATTTCTAGGGAACAGACTTAAACTTCAGTATTTCACACACTACAGGTTCTCAGTGTTTAAATGTCCAAATTACTATGGCATTTCCAATCATCCACAAAAAGGCATTCAGCGTAAAACCTTCTTTTACTTCCTGAAGTGAGACAGAAAAAAGATACAATCTTGCCTCACTATCATTGTTTAAAAACTAAATACTATTTAGGTTTGCACCTAAATTTAAGACCTAGAAAAGGCAACCAGCAAAAGGGAAAGTATAAAATTAGTAACAAAAATTATTACTGGATGGTAAAAAACATACCATTACCTGAGGTTCAACTTAGGTGTACCTCTTCTAAAGGAAAAGTTTATACAAATATACAGCCAACTCCTACTTGTGTTTATGAGCCTACCTCTGCCCATTTGGTCTAGTTCAGCCTACACCTCACACCTGGAAAGCAGCTTATAATTTTAAAGTCAGGCCCACAACCGTGATGTAGGGGCTGGTGATAGGAGACTAAACACTAGACACGCTTAGCAGAGCGCTCTACAGCTGGGGCCCAGGTCAGCGAGCTAGAAAAAACAGAACTCAAATACAGCTTGTCGATGCATCTTCTCAATCTTGATCCTTCTTCTACAGCCATCCCAGGGATGCCTTGAAATGTTCCAAGCCTATTAGGCCCCAAATATAAGGAGGTAACAAATACCAGGGCACAGAGTATCTTATCCAAATGATAAAAACATGTAACATGTTTAGAGATTTCAAGTTTTGTATGTTTTATATACATCTTAAAATGTTTATTTATTTTTTTAAATTTTTATTTATTTCAGAGAGAGAGAGAGAGAGAGAGAGAGAGAGAAAGCATGCACAAGTACGGGCAGGAAGGGCAGAGCGAGAGGGAGAAACAGGCTCCCCCGAGTGTGGGGCACTAAGCAGGGCTTGACCAGGACCCTGGGATCACGACCTAAGCAGAAGGCAGACGTTTAAACCGATGCAGCCACCCAGGCACCACCTACATCTTAAAATGTTGAGAGTTCAGTACATGAGAAAACAAGGCAAGTTTTGTGAGGACTATTACTCTAAAGGAAAGAACTACAGATGTGTGTATGGGTCTTGAATCAATTGGTTGGGTCATGATCCTTTTAATTTTTTTAATGAAAAAGAATAGACGAGGGGTACCTAGGTGGCTCAGTCGCTCTTGGTTTCAGCTTAGGTCGTGATCTCAAGCCTGAGATCGAGCCACGTGTCAGGCTCAGTGCTCAGCATGGAGTCTGCTTGAGTTTCTCTTTACCTCTGTCTCTCCCACTGGCGCGCACGTGCACGCACTCTCACTTTCTCTCTCTCTCTCTCTCTCTCTCTCTCTCTCAAAAATAAATAAATAAATCTTATTAGGAAAAGAAAAACAGACTACAACAGAAAAGATTAAAAAACACTGTGCATCACTTTATTTTAAACACTTATTTCAAAAAATAAAAATAAATAAATAAAAAATAAACACTTATTTCATATAAAAAAATCATACCCAGACCTATGTCATATAAAATATATGTGACACAAAACATTTCTTATGGTCAGTGAGTCAAAAAAAATCTACAAGCCTTTTATCACCCAATGTCCACAATACCCAGCCCTATATGTGAGGATAAGGAGAGCTAATGGAAGAATTTTTACTCACTAATTCTGAGGATATTATCTAGGCGATCATAAACTTTATAAGTTCTACAAAATAATCAAAGGAAGTGATAGGCTATTGCTGATAGCTTATATATAGATTTTTAGTCTGGGAGTTCCTCACAGTACCTTAAACAGGATTATAATAATATAAAATTCAGTTACATTTCCTTCTCTATACCAGGATCTCTCACGGACTGCAACATTATGCTAAGCATCTTGTTAAAGGGAGAAACTTCAGTAAAGTCCTTACTCAAGGAAACCATTCCTCTGTGAAACAAAAACAACAAAGAGAATTTTACAAAGGCCATTAGACTTACTCCTAACTTTTGACTCCAGCAGCAAGGACCAAAGAAACATCAAAGATGTTGATTTCCAGATTCACTTGGCTCTGGACAGTTATGGGCAGTCACTTTATCATCTTCAGCTTTAACTAAATCAAAAGGCTTACTGGCTATAAAATATTACATTCTCACCAAACTGAGATTTTCCCAACGTAGGAGATGCTCATTTTGTACTTACCTAGTTCTGTTATTATCAAATTGCAAAAGCTGAAATTCCTATAAAAGATTACAGGCATTTTTAAATTAGGAATCTAGCAAACAGTAAAATTTTTCACAATAACCCTCAGTTAAAACACTAGTTTAAAACTGTATTAGCAATTACATTAACAGTATTTTTCTCCTTCTTGTATGAACATGAAAAAGAAAAGCCAAGTTAGTCCTACACAGCTTGTTTTAATAATTTGAGGAAAGAAGAAAAAAGTATAAGAAACCCATTGGAATCATATGACTGAGTTTTTAAAAAACACTTATCGGGGCACCTGGGTGGCTCAGTGGGTTAAGCCTCTGCCTTCGGCTCAGGTCATGATCTCAGGGTCCTGGGATCGAGCCCCGCATCAGGCTCTCTTCTCAGCGGGGAGCCTGCTTCCCCCTCTTTCTCTGCCTGCCTCTCTGCCTACTTGTGATCTCTCTTTCTCTGTCAAATAAATAAATAAAATATAAATAAATAAATAAAATAAAAAACACTTATCTTTTAAAAAATGTAAATAGAGTATATGGGCAAGAAAATTATTTATAGACCTTCATTAACTCTGAATATGATAAAAAACACAGTAGCAACACATGTATCAGATCTTGAATGAAAATAACAGACAGGGACTGAAATGGAAAAAAGTGAAAAATGACTCCTCATACACACACTGCTTCTTCCATCCGACAGTCCCTGCCATTCCTAACACTCCATGGCAAATTCAGTGTTAGTTAATACCGGGATCTGATTTAGATTAGGAGAGTTTTTTAGGATTGTTCTAGGTTTCCTGACCAAAGGTGGTCAACAGACCTAAGTGTAAGCCAAATGTCACTGCTCATTCAAACCCAAGTACTATTTTTTGCAGGTGGATGGTATCCAGAGCTACAAATTGGCCCAGGTGGAGGCCTTGGAAGGTTGTAGAAAATTAATGATATTTTAAAACCTTATTATATTTCTAGTTAATCCCTGTTAACAAAAATGAACTTGCAAAAAACAATATAAATACAAAAGTCATGCCTTAAGTAAACAAAGCATATAATCATATTCCCCAACATATAAACAGGAATGTGAAATTTCTAATCGTGTATCCAAGGCATTTGATATGTAAACTCAAAAATGCTAAAGGTTCAGTTTCACTTAAAAATAAAACCACCAAGGGCCCATATTAGCTGCCTATAAAATAAAACTAAATGCAGTTCCCCTCTCTTCCACACACCCCACCCACTGCCAACTGATGAATCCTTTTATTATGCTAATATATTTTAATATATTTAAACCAATCACAAGTATAATCTGAAAACTCCCTTAAACCATCATCAATAATTATTTGATTATAACTTGGAATTCATTCAATAGTTATCAAACAACTTACTAGCACAGCACTCTCCTAGCTGCTATGGGGAACATAAAGACAAAAGTTATACTTGTAATTCTTCCACAGCACCTTGGACCATGGCATAGCACTGTCAAAAACACTACCAGAAATTAATACAGAAGAAAATAGTCTAGAACCTTTAAATTTAGAATTATTAGAACGTACACTTTTTCTCTACTTCATTAATTGAAAATTTGGTTAAGTCACTGTAACCTGGTTATTGTGAAAACTGGTTGACTCTGTTTTACCTTTATTTTTTTTAATTTGAATTCAATTAATTAACATATAGTATATTATTAGTTTCAGAGGTAGAGTTCAGTGTTTCATCAGTTGTATGTAACACCCAATGCTCATTACATCAAGTGGCCTCCTTAATGCCCATTACCCATTTACCCCTTCCTAAACCCCACTTCCCCTCTAGCAACCTTCAGTTTTTCCCCTATGGTTAAGAGTCTCTTATGGTTTGTCTCTTTCTCTGATTTCATCTTATTTTATTTTTCCCTCCCTTCTCCTAGGCTCCTCCTCTGTTTGGTTTCTTAAATCCCACATATGAGTGAAATCCTACGATGACTGTCTTTCTCTGACTGACTTATTTCGCTTAGCATTAATACCCACTAGTTCCATCTACATGGTGGCAAACGGGTCATTTTTTTGAAGGCTGAGTAACATTCCGTGTTTTACACACACACACACACACACACACACACACACACACACACACACAGAGTTTTACCTTTAAATAAAGGCATCCCGAGCTGTGGTAT